CTCCTGACCTCGTGATCCCCCCCACCTTGGCTTCCCAAAGTGTTGGGATTACAGGCCTGAGCCACCGCGCCTGGCCACAAAGTACCTTCTTCAGTTGGGGGAAGTACCTTTACTTCAAAGTACTTATTACAAAGTACCTTTTTTTCTTTTCTTTTTTTTTTTTTACAAAATATCTTATTGGCAGGGGGGAGGATATTACAAAGTACCTTCTCAAGGATGGGGAGGGTGTACTGTACAAAGTACGTTCCCCCTTTGTGCATATCACAAACGTGGGGAATATCACAAGGTACATTATTGTAAGGGGGGGTGGTGTATTGTCACAAAAGTCAATTGATCAGTCAATTGATCAGTAAGGGCGGGGCAGGAACAAATCACTATGGTGGAATGTCACCAGTTAAAGCAGGAACTGGCTATTCTCACTTCTTTTCTGGATATTCAGTTGCTTCAGGCCATCTGGATGTACACGTGCAAATCACAGGTGATTTGATGGCTTAGCTTGGGCTCAGAGGCCTGACGAATGGTTCCCTTGCAAAAGCCATGTATTCTCTGACTCACCCACTTGCTCCCTGCAGTCTCTCTGGGTCTGGTATATAATAGGTGCACGAGCAATGTTTGTTGATTGACTGACTGAAATTCTGCTCAAGGCCGGGCACAGTGGCTCACGCCTGTAATCCCAGCACTTTGGGAGGCCGAGGTGGGCGGATCATGAGGTCAGGAGATCGAGACCATCTTGGCTAACACGGTGAAACCCCATCTCTACTAAAAATACAAAAAATTAGCCCTGTAGTCCCAGCTACTAGGGAGGCTGAGGCAGGAGGATGGTGTGAACCCAGGAGGCGGACCTTGCAGTGAGCTGAGATTGCACCACTGCACTCCAGCCTGGGTGACAGAGCGAGACTCCGTCTCAAAAAAAAAGAAAAAAAAAAAATTCTGCTCACTTCCCTCCCTTTACCATCTCCCACGAAACCCATGGGGCCCCCCATGGAACCCACTTTGAGAATCAATGCTTTAGATCAGCGTTTTCACTTTATGGATGGATCAGCTATGTACCCAAAGCCAGGTAGACCTCAGGCTACAGGTGAAGCCCGGGTCATGTCCTGGGCCTCCAAATTCCTGCACCACATCCAGTCTTACGGGCAAGATTAGGACACCCCGGAAATTGGCTTCCAGACAATATCCCGGCTGCAGGGGAGAACACCACCCTACGTAACCTCGTGACAGGTGTGTGCTGCAGTACACACTTGCTTGTTCCTCCTCTCTGTTCCCACTTCCTCCCCGCCCTAGGAGACCTGCCATGGCCTCCTGGTGAGCTGCGCTCATCCACTGCTCGCTGCCTTTCCAGGTAAGTTATCCCGTTCTACCTTTTCCCCTACCCAGAATGCCTAGGAGACCTCCCAGGAAAGGCCTCCTGGCTCCGCTCCTCCTCCCCTCAGCCCCCAGCCTGTCTGCCCTGATTCAAGATGTGACTGGGCTGGCACAAAATCCCAGTGGACAGTCACCAAACTGTCCACGACCTGGAATGTGGCCAGCACCCCCTAGTTGCAGGCAGGGGTCTTTGTGGGTGTGGCATGCACCCCCGTGGGAGAGGGCATGGAAGGTTCTGGGTGATTTGCCAAACTGGGAGGAAAGAGAGACGTTTATCCGTCTCCTTGGCAGAGCTCTGGAACGGAGTCCCCTCTGCACCCCAACCCTGTCAACAGCCTATCCCCACTTATCTTTTCTGGCTTTGGATTCTCCCTGGCCCTGCCTGCCTGGGGTGGACTTAAGATGCAATTGTTTTGTTTCTTTGTTTTTTATTTTTCTTCGAGACAGAATCTTGCTGTTGTCCAGACTGGAGTGCAGTGACGCGATCATGGCTCACTGCAGCCTCAAACTCCTGGGCTCGAGCGATCCTCCTGCCTCAGGCTCTGGAGTAGCTGGGACTATAGGCGTGTGCCACCTCACCCTGCTAATTTTTTTTTTTTTTTTTTTTTGTAGAGATAGGGTCTCACTATGTTGCCTCAGGCTAGACTTGTTCTGCGTTTTGTTTTTGTTGTTATTGTGGTTTTTTGTTTTTGAGACAGAGTCTTGCTCTGTCACCCAGGCTGGGGTACGGTGGCATGATCTCGGCTCACTGCAACCTCTGCCTCCCTCATTCAAGCGATTCTCGTGCCTCAGCCTCCTGAGTAGCTGGGATTAAGGCACCCGCTGCCACACCTGGCTAATTTTTGTATTTTTAGTAGAGACAGGATTTCACAATGTTGCCCAGGGTAGTCTCAAACTCCTGACCTCAGGTGATCTGCCTGCCTCAGCCTCCCCAAGTACTGGCATTATAGTCGTGAGCCACTTTGCCCAGCCAGTCAGGCTGATCTTGAACTCCTGGGCTCAAGTGATCCGCCCACCTCGACTTCCTGAAATGCTGGGATTACAGGCACGAACCACCATGCCCAGCCGTTTTTGTGTTTCTTGCTTCCTGATCTTTGTGATGTCCCAGCAGAGTAGCATTTTTTAATCTTTTTCTAGGAAAAAGTATCTTGGGTTCAACTTGGGTGGGATCTTGAGTCCTAATCACCCGCCATCAATCACCCGTTTCCCCGAATCTACCCTCCTGAAGGTCACTGACAAAGACTTGTCTTCTAGGAGAGGCTGCCATAAATCCAGGACCAACATAATTCCATCTTTTTTTTTTTTTTTGAGACAGTGTCTCGCTCTGTCACCCAGGCTGGAGTGCAGTGGCCAGATCTCAGCTCACTGCAAGCTCCGCCTCCAGGTTTACGCCATTCTCCTGCCTCAGCCTCCCAAGTAGCTGGGACTACAGGAGCCCACCACCGCGCCTGGCTAGTTTTTTATATTTTTTAGTAGAGACATGGTTTCACCGTGTTAGCCAGGATGGTCTCGGCCTCCCAAAGTGCTGGGATTACA